GAGTTCCTCCAGAATCTCTTTTCCTCTTGATTTTGAATCTTATAAGTGTACGATTGAATTTTGCTCATAATAAATTTTACTAGAAAAGCCTCTAACTTATTTGGGTTGGGGAGTTGGAATCCAGAAGACTCCAGTTTTCCTTCATGTGTAGTTAGAGAGTAACTTAGGGGCTGAACTTGTGGTGTGTTTTTGTTTAGTTAAGAAAGTGAAAAATAAGCTTCAAGGAAGGTATTGAGATCTTTGAATGGAAATGGATGTAAAATCAGATTTAAACAGCAAGACCAGTCTTAGGCACTTAGTAATCATTGGCAGAGAAATATTTATTTATTAGTTGTGTGAATGAGGTTCAGGGAATAAGGCTGAAGAAGTGCCAGGATTCTGATTTAGAGTCCACATCAAGAAACTTCATTTTATTTAAGATTTTCTTTAATATTTATTCTAGCTGTGGTACTCAGGGGGTCTCATCCTGGGACCAACTGAGAATTCATCCATTTAGTCATTTATTCATTAATTTATATTTAGGAGCACCTTTTCTTTGCCAGGCACTGAACAAAGACACAAAAGTTTATTAAAGGGGAACAAATTATCATTTAGACACACTGTTAAGATGGATCCTAACCCAGCAAATGCCTACATTCGTTATTCAGTACCTTACCTACCAGAAACTGTAACATTCATCCAGGCTAAACTGAGGCTGTGTTTGTCCTTCCCACATTTTGTGTCCCCTGCAACCTGTTTGTCTCAATTCTTCGGCATAAATCAGAAGGCCTTGCTTCTCTTTCTAATAAAGGTAGCTAGGATTCTTCTCAATCGAGTTTGTAGAGAAGACCCTCAAGACAAGAGGGTATTTTTCTTTCTTCTATTTAAAATTTATGAAGACGACTGCCAGTTTCCCCAGTTCTTTTGGGATAGATCTAAAAAAAGGACAAGTTATGTTTTCAAGACAGTCGATTACTCTCTATGTGTGGTGACCGTCTAGAAATGTGGCCAGACATTGCTGCAGGTTTTGTTACTGCAAAAACAGCTATAGTCTTTGCTCCTGAGTTTTAGGTAATTACGGACGTGTTTCTTACTGCAATGGCTTTGATGGCTGCAAAGACATCCATTTCTTCTGATATCAGAGACAGAAAAAGCAAACTACTTAAGAAAAATGAAACTGAGATAAAAGAGCCTAGGCTAAATATTGGTAACTTTCAGCTGCATTACGTTTACTAATCCAGAACTGGGAAAAAAGAGCTTCTAATGCTGACAGTTACAGAGTAGTATCATTTGGTCTTAAATTTTTACATTCTCCCTGAACGAAGGCCTAAGATTCTGGAGTTGTTCTGGAACTTGACCCTGCTAGTTTATAATATGCTTCATTTCAACTATACTACAGTGCTGGCAAAAGAAATCTTTATGCCAAAAATGCATATGGATTTGATAACCCACCCTGGAAAATCAAGGACATCTGGTTTTTTTTTTTTTTACTCTAAACCTTTTGTTGGAAAGTCTAAACATAATGCGCTGGGCCAATTTATTAATATTTTGGAATGAATATAGTTATGATATGTCATAAGAGAAATGGATTGTGGTTTTGTAGTTGAAAAAAATCAAAATTTTCACATTATCGGTTAAAATCACATTAGAAGAACCATTTTGAAAATCACATTTATTTTAAATAAATGTGGTAGCAGGTATTCCAGCAGAGAAAATCTTTGAAATATGTAGAAATGGATTTTTAAGAGTTGAAAGAACCACATACCTTGGAAATCATTTTCTGTATCTAAAATATTCCTAGATTTTGATATACTCCATCTTTATTTGAACTGGCCGTAAAGTTTTAATTAGTTTCACTGAGGTAGAATTAGCTGCATCGAAGTGGACACACTCCAGTACGAGCTGAACAGCAGCCTATGTACCACGGATTTCCAACATAAACCATAATTCAAAAACGCCAACACAACTCTTTTCTTTGCAGCTGGGTAACCATTTATGTTGAAGGTGAAGATGTTAATATGGAAATTTCGTGAGCTAGGAAAGAGGATGAATGCTATCATTTTAATTTATGACCTTTCATATAAGGCCAAACGTAAAGGCAACTTCAATTGTTTTATATCTCAGGGCCAGCACATAGCAGATGTATGAAATTTGGAGTGTTAGACATAAACTTTTATTACCAAATTATAAATAATTTCTCCCACTTATAATGTTCACCTTTCAAGTTCGTCTTGATTAAAATACAAGGGCAGCATCACACCGACTTCCCTGAATTTTACAGCTGAGAGAGGTTTTCTAGAGTTCACAGTCGAGCATAAAGAATCACAGCGTTTGATAGACTCTCCTCAAAGGAGCTCAGACCCTGCACCCATGGCTTTTGAAATCCAAGTTATACCAAAATGATGGCCAATGAAATCTGAGCATTTATTTAAACATCTTGAACATTATATCTGGAACCAAATGCACATCATGTAGAACATGTCCCATCTTGTGGTAAAAATAAAAGGCACACTGCCTTTCCCGAGAAATTTATCCATCAGTCAAAAGCTTCTATTACTTTTCAGAAGATAACATAGATGTTGGCCCTGCGCTCAGAGTATGCGAGGGAGGAAACAAATACACACACACAAACACACACAGTGTTATTTAATGGTATCATTTACAAGTACACGAGGGAGGAAACAAATACACACACACAAACACAAACAGTGTTATTTAATTGTATCATTTAATTGTATCATTTACAAGTGAAGACAGTTTGGTCGTTTCTTACAAAACTAAACATACTCTCATTATACAATTCAGTAACTGCACTTCCTGGTATTTACCCAAAGAGTTGAAAACTCAACTCTTTTACCATGGGTTGAAAACTTACGTCCACACAAAAACCTGCACACAGATTTTTATAGCAGCTTAGTCCATAACTGCCAAAACTTGGAAGCAACCAAGATGTCCTTCAGCAAGGTGAATAGATAAATAAACTGTGGTACATCTAGACAATGGACTATTATCCAGGGTTAAAAAGAAATGAGTTATAAAGCCATGAAAAGACATGGATGACACTTAAATACATATTACTAAGTGAAAAAAAAGTCCATCTGAAAAGGCTACATACTATACGATTCCAACTTTATGATATTCTGGAAAAAGCAAAACCATGGAGACAGTAAAAAGATCAGTGTTTGCCAGAAATGAGTGGGGAGAGGGAGAGATGAATAGGGAGAACACAGATGGTTTTTAAGGTAATGAAAATACTCTGTATGATACTGTAATGATGAATACGTGTCATTAAATGTTTGTCAAAACCCATAGAACGTACAACACCAAGAGTGAATCCTGATATAAACCATGGACTTTGGGTGATAATGATGTGTCAATGTAGGGTCATCAATTTTAACAATTAAACTAAACTAATAAACTATGTAAGCTAAACTAAATCTTCTCAAATTATTTTTATAACTTATGATAATTATTTTTATGCCCTTAATAAATTACTGTTTGTATTTAGGGTTCTGAAGACTAGTTCTTGGTGGACTAGTATTCACAAAGTCTTGCATATGTTTTCTTTGTAAAATTAAAGATGCTAAAAAAAAAACAAACCCTGTGAAATATGAAAAGATGCTTTGTGAGTGAGTAAAAGCCTATTACAAACTGCTGAGGGGATTCTGGGCACAACCACATTTTGATAAACTCATTGGCTTTGAAGTAATCGTGGTGCCACCCCATTTGCTGAGTTGGGTCCTTCCAGATCCATGTCCCCTGGAAGGCTGCAGCTGCCTCTGCAGATGAACCACACCCTCGAAACTCCTCATTGCCCCTTGGCCACCACACCAGTCTCAACGACTCTGCCAGGGCTCTGTGGTAAAAGGAAAAGAGACATGTCTGAATAATTGAGACAACCCATGAGGAATGTGGTACAATTTGATGTCTTTTGTGAAGAAAGGTTTTAGGGACAGTGTTTTATATCCTATTATATTCGTTCTTTGCAGCTAATTATTTTAATTTGAATACTTATTTTTTGTTTACATTATATTTTATACTGTAAGAACTTCAAATATAGCTTTTCAATAAATCCATAATGCTTCATCTTTACCCAAAGTGAGTTTTATATTAGGATATACTGAAAGTCTTTTCTAATAAATCGCATCCAGTTGTTCTCTGTCCACCATATTGAAGGTTCATTTCTTTAGCTAGGAGAGGCCTTCAAGAGGGGGAACTCATTTTTTTGTCTTAGTAAAAAATTCTACATCTTAGATTCTATAACACTTAGCATTAAGAATTTGTTTAAAGCTATTATCACTGTTTAGTGTTACAAATTATATAGAATTAATGTTTTCAGTTGATAAGGGCATGTGTATAGGGATAAAAAAAGTCTTGTTTTTTTTCTTCTCCCTTTCCATTAATATTAAGAATATTGAGTATGCCAATCATAATTGAAAAATTAAAGAGAGAATATTGAGAATTCATGCAAAATTCCAAACCAAGTTCCCATAGCAGCACTTAAATAATGCCTGCACACCATTTCCAATTAAAATTAGTTTGTAGTGTGACACAATTTATGCCATTAAAATACAGAATTACTTTAGCGTTTTAATTCTTCTTGTGTCAATTAACGTTGCCACGGAAACAAATTCTTACCAACAAAGACTTCGTCTTCACACACTTAATCAAAATCTGAAGGTGGATTTAAATGTTTGAGGCTGCTTGTTTTATTTACTTGCATTAAATTATTCAAGGGCACATTTCTGGGTATATACAGTCATTACTTTAGCAGTAAATTCTAGTTTCCTATGACTTTAAGCTATTTCTTAGTTCTGCCCCAAAGAAACCCGGACTAAGGATCACTTCCTGCATTTCATTTTATGTTTTTCTTGGGGCGGGGAGGGGGTTGCTTTCTGTTAAAGGAGAGCGCACCAGCACTTTCCGTTTAACTCCAAAGCACCAACTTTGCCTTTAGGCAAACCAGGATGCTTGGATTTGCGCGCCCCGGCAAGGGCGGGGCTTTTTGGTCGGGCGAGCCGCCGTAGCCAGGGAAGCGATGATTGGCTGGGATACAAAAGTGCCCCTGCCTCGGCGGTTTCGGTTTCGGTTTCATCCCGTTCGTCCGCGGAGGCCGGGCTTGGGGTTACCTAGAGTGGGGATACCGAATCCCCGCCACCAGGTGAGTCGGAGGCCGCGCGGGCCGTTGGAGGCCCCAGCGTTCCGTCGCCCCGGGCTGAGTTTGCGGAGCAGCAGCCCCGGGAGGGAGCGCCGATCCCGGAGCCTGCGGGTGGGCGGCCCCCGCGCATTGCCGCGCTCACGGTCTCTTTGGGCCCCTGGAATTGCGGGGAGACCGGTGGTCGTGGGCGCCGGGATCCCTGAGCCCGGCCCTTGAGCCCCGCTCCCCGCCGGGCGCTTAGACCGCGTGGTGGGAAACGGCCCCGCCGAGTTGGCTTCGGAGCGCGTGCCTGGTGGAGTTCCGCAGGGAACCCCGACATTAGCCTGGGGATTCGGCGGGAAAGCGGACCCTGAGCACAGGGCCAGGCTTCGCGCGGTTTCCAGGGCTGCAGGAAATCGCCGGACTAGCAGCAGTCCTGGTGGTTGCGCCAGACCCCCAGGAATTAAGAGCTGGACTAGCCCACCTTACCGAGGCGTCGGGTCGGGAATGTCCACAATCGTCTGGCGTTGAGTCCTATCACCAGGGCTTGTGTGCAGGGGTGTGCGCGCGCGTTCATAGCAGGTATTTTTGTTCAGCGTGTCTGGGATTAGGGTGATATAGATAAGGTTGATCGTGATCTAGTGTGCCCCCGTAGTAATACAAGACAATTGGAGAAAAATTGAAAATATGTTTAGTGGAGAAAATCATATTTACTGAAACCTTTCACCAACAATTTCTGTATTTTATTCTTGCATGTGCTAATTTCTCCCTGAGCTAAGATCACCTATTTTTCCACTTAACAGTATATCTGATTTTCTAGTTTCATTTAAAAACATGCTAAATATCTTTAATTTTGTATCGTTCGATTGACTACCTGTTCCTTCATTGTGTAGGTCTCATAAATTACTCAGCCATTTCCCAACTGCGGAGCATTTAGGGTATTTGTGAATTCTTGCTTAATTTTAGTTTCTCAGATAGTGCTTCGATACTTTTTTTTTTTAATCTTTATTTCACATTATTTACTTGGACAGATTTTGAGAAGTGAAATTATTAGAATAGCACTGTAGGTCTGTTTAGGTCTTCATACATACACATTGCTGGCTCGTTTTCCAGAACAGTTTTAGTAGTTTACATCATTTTTGTTAGGACTGTGCCTATTTCACCAAAAGTAGTGATACATTTCCAATATACTAACCAGCAAAGTTGAGCCTCTCTTTGGAATTTTTTTTTTTTATGGTGATGTCTGGCAATTCCAGTTGCTTGAATTTTGTGAAGGAGTCTTCAGGAGGTTGTGTTAGTGTGTGTTTGTGTTTGCCTGCTGACTATTAGATCACTTAAGTGATCACCTAGCAAATTGCCTTATTTTGCAGATGAGGAACCTGGGGCATTGAGAGATGAGTTATCCCAGGCACACAGCTAGTAAGTAGCAGAGCTGGGATTAGAACTCATGTGTCCCACCTCCCAAGTGTTGATGCTGCATTCGGTAGTCTATCACTAAACTGTGGCATAGTCGATATTAGAATTTAAAAAGATGTTTCCATCACTTGGATTATTCTGTCTTTTTCGAATTGTACCAAGTAACAGATATTTTAATCATCTAAGGAATCTCTGACCTTGAAAAATGGGGAATTGACTATTTTCCAGGACTAGAAATCCATTTAAAATAACAAGCTCTTCAAGATTTTTGGACAGTTGTTTTCAAATTTTATAAATGTTGGAATAAAATATCTAATAAGTTATCTATATTCTGTCATCTGGTTAGAACTTAGCTGTTTGTTCTCATTTGTTACACCTTAAAGATTTTTTTTAAAAAAATGTCAGTTGATATTTTGGGCCAGATATTTTGTTATGGAGGGCTATCCTATGCTTTGTAGAAGGATAAGCAATATCCTTGGCCTCTATCTACAAGAACCAGTATCACCACATCCTCATACAGGACAATCCAAAATGTCTCCAGATGTTTCCAAATGTCTCTGAGGGTAGGGGGCAACATCTCCCTGGTCAGGAACCACTTGCTTATAGGGATTATTTCGGGAACTTTATGTAAATTCCAGTGCCCCTTGCCTAGAGAGTCTGACTAGGGGTAAGCTTCAGGAATCTGCATTTTATCAAGCATCTGTTGATTTGGATGCATCTGGTTCTTGGACAATATGGACACATTTGTTTTCTCCGTCTTTCTTTCAGTGGTCAGTAGTAGAGATGTTACTATGTGATAGCTGCTTAAATGCATGGATGATACTAGTCGCTGCCCATAGTTGGGAAAAGACAGAGGTTTTTCTTGGCACTGCCCTTAAATGCCTCTTCCCAGGCTTGGCCAATATGCTTGAGTAACAGGGATACCAGATGAGTAAGACATTTTCCCTGTCCCTGAGAAGCTTAGAAACTACTGTGGGACTTAGCACACGCAAGAATAAAATACAGAAATTGTTGGTGAAAGGTTTCAGGAAACACGATTTTCTCCACTAAGACTGGTCAGCTGGAAAGGAGGGAGATATTTAGAGAGCTGTTCTCAGGTCAGATGCCCTCTTAGACACTGATGTATTGGGCTAAAGCTGGTTTTACTTGGGTTGTAATGTTATGTTTCATAGCAGTTTTTTGCTTTTCAAATTTTTATACCCTAAACTGTAAATACTCGAAGAAGAAATGAAAGTTCACAGGTAAACATTTCCAAGAAACAATGATTTGCATGTCTTCTGCTCAGTGACAGAACTCAAAATCACGTCAGATGTATTTCTTTTCATTTGACCATTATATTTCTTCACAGGCTGGTTTACAGTACTTCATGACATTAGGTATCACTCCCCCTCCTCCCCCAGTGCTACCCTCCAACTGGATCTCCCACTGTCTGGCCATTCCCCAGGTTTAACAGGAGAACCTTGACATTCAAAAGGGCAGCTATGTCTTTGAAAGGGTTCCAGCTTTGTGATGAAGCCTTAGTGCTGCTCACCACCTCACAGGTTGACTGCATGAATTGCTCGTGACTCTAATACTTGGCACATAATTGGATGAATAAAATTGGGTTTTTCTCCCCCATTCTTTTACTAAAGAAAATCTCTGCAGGGCAGTTTGCAGATGTTCTCATACTGGATCTCTCAAAAGCATCTGACAGAAAATACACTGCCTTTGACTTAATAGCCATGTATGAAAATAGGTCATTTAAAACAAGCCTGAGTAGGAGTCAGGGGATGGACAGGAGGCATAGAGCTTTAAGTTTGAAGGAAGAATTTTATCAAGGTGACCTTGCAGAAAAGACGCTTTTTTTCTCTCATATGTTTATGGTTCAAGAGGCTTTTCTCTTCAGAAATGGTCAGAACTGTTCCTTCTGCCTTATCCAATTTAAAAGATGAAAACTTAAAATAATGTGAGCCAGGTGATGGGAAAAATTGTGATGTCGAGAGCAATTTACTCGTACAAAATGGATTTATGGGCCAGTCATTAAATAACAGAGTACCAAGAAAGGCTAATGAAGATAAATGTAAAAGATATGGTCTCCCAAAGTGAAGGATAAAATGTGTTTGAAGCAACATCCTCTTTCCAAATAACTTTTAAAATATATTTTTTCAGGAGATTTAGCAGAATATAGATGCTCTAAAGAATAAATGAGAAGCTTGATATTAGTCTCTCTTTTCATGTGGCTTAATAGTCTTTTGAGGGAGAAAAGACTTGTATAAAAAAAAGTAGAGAATATAGAAGAGTGAGGTATATCAAATAGAACCACATGTGAAACTTTATGATGCCAAAACAAAGTGAGATGGCCCATCTCCACTCTAAAGTAGAATGCAGAACTCATGCAAGTCTCTGCCTTAAATCCTCCTACGTCCCTATCACCATCACAGTAGTTCCCATACTTGCCAGCTTATGAGTCTTTGAGGCTTGTGCAAACGGATTCCTGGGTCCCTACCCTAGATCTCCTGAATCAGACTCTCTAAATGATGCAAACGATTTGTGTTTGGGAAATTGACCTAGCGGCTCAAGCCCAGGCTCTTTGAGCCTGACTTGCCATGCTCCTCAGGAATATGGCTCTGATCCCTTCTGTGGCTGCAGCTTGTCCTCCTTGCCAGTGTAGAGTTTCTTGAACCCAAACACTGACCAGTGCCTTTGCTAAGATTTCTGGTGGACTCCTTTTCATATTCAGCTCAGGTGTCACCTCCAGAAATCCTTTCATCTGCCAAGCCTGGGCTAAGTGAGTCTCTCTGCATAATTCTATCCCAGGACATAAATTTTTTTTTTTTTAAATCTCCATTTTTTTTTTTTTTTGCCTTTGGAGTGTAAACTCTGAGAGCCCAAGGCCATGTCATATTGGTGTTACATCCTCAGTCTATGTGCCTGACACTTAGGTGCTGATGAAAGTTCAAAGTGTTGAATACCTTCAAAAAGAAATCATTGTTAATTGGAATAAAGATGAGGCTTAATGGCAGATGTGTGATCTTTGATGAGTTTAGAAGAAGAATATATGTACTTTTTAAAAAGATGAGGAAAGATAATAGTAATAACATTTTAGAAATAACTAACACCATCAGTTAACTAATAGTCTAGGTTTGTGTTTTTCTGTCATTAACTTTGACTTTGCCCAAGATAGCTAATATCGCTGTGAACTAGATTTTCAGATCATGATGCATCTCTTTTTCTTTTTTAAACATAGAATAAGCAGCTAGTTTGATCTCATTCTTGTACATGAAGAACTGGCATGATGGGATTTAGCATCTGATAGGAAATGAACCTGACTTGAGTTGAGGCTGCATCAGGTCTTCAGGGTTAATAGTCTCTCTAGAGCCATTCAGCCACAAAAACAGCACATGTTCAGGACATAAATAAGGCAGTTTATAGATGAATGGGAAGATTTGTTTTTACTAAACTCATTAAAGGTACTGAATCTGTTACAGTATTTACTTTGTAATTGTTTTCCTTGTGCTCACAACAGTGTAAATAAAATTATTGTGTGGTCTGAGTCCTGAATGAATGATTGTCCAGATTACTAGTTGTAATTTCAGTTATCTGTTGAGACTGTAACTAAAAAATACTGGCAGTTCAGTGGAAAAATTAAATTAAAATTTGCTGAGCAAAATAATCAGTTGATCACATTAAAAAAATTTTTTAAGCCTTGGAGAGATGGAATGAATGGGAATAGTTCAAATAACAGCCCTAAATTCAAGAACAGTTTTTGAAACTTGTATTTTCTGTTACTTTGGTTGTTGACTTTTCTTGGTTAAAAAAAATCATTTAACTTGAATTATAAGCACTTTTGTTTACTCACGCCCTTTAAACAGGCATTTGGTTCTGGATCCCAAGTTAAAGGTCAGAGCCTGTGAATACACATTTTTTAATTTCCTTGAAAATATGTGTGTACAAACATATTTATTGAACAAATGAAAAGCCAGTAATCTAGCATTCTAACTTACCCAAACTGCTGAGCATGCAAAGTCACTTTGAGAAAATCTCCAGTGTTCCTAAACCTCGAATTTAGATCATCGAGTGGGTGGACGTGGACTAAAATAAGCATTGCTATTTTCGAAAGAATGTTTAATGGACATTTTGATTGAGCGGGGGTCTCTGTAAACATCATCTTCTGTGGTGACGCCGTGTCATACGGTTGTTGTGAGGACTGATGAGATAATGCATGGAAAACACTTCGCTTAGTATCTGGTTCATGGTACTGGAAACACGTTAGCTGCCAGGTAGTGGAATAATGTTAAGTCCTCCTACGTGCTCCTTTGGCACTTGATTTCCTATAAGTATGTTAAGGGCATCAGGGCTCTTTTGTTGAATAATTAACTTTTGTCTTTACCTTTATTGCTCCTTTTCAGATTTCTGATCAGGATTGTTAAAATGAGTCTGCGGAAGCAAACCCCCAGTGACTTCTTAAAGCAAATCATTGGACGTCCAGTTGTGGTAAAATTAAATTCTGGAGTGGATTACCGAGGTAATATTCTCATGCTTCATCCTCCCTGGTGTAATTAAACGAGTAAATGTGACTTACTGGTTTTTATTAATCTTGTAAACATATATACCCAGTAGATCAGACACCATTGATTGTCCACAATTTTTATGCCAATTTTTTCGGCCTCTGAGATGGTACCTTTCAGAGAGACAACTCTTACACGAGTGTGCACTTCTGACTTCTGGTGCGATTTGTGTGGCTACTGTCTCCTGTCTCTGCTTTGAGATCGTGTGTGCCTAAGCTCCCTGGTAATAATAGCCAGAGATACCCATTCACCTAAGCGTGAACAGGTGGATACTGAAGATCACCTTGGCACAGCAGCACCTGTGTCTGCAGAAATATTCAAGATTGCAAGCAGCTATTTAGGTAGTATCATTTTACAGCACGAACTTCTCACTCACGCAATATGTGGGTTATCCAGAGACACCTTTCTATTCTTTTGGAGAATACATTTTTTAAGGCCATGACTCTAACGAAGTTAACTTTGTGGGAGGAGTGGTTTCAAATTCCATTTTCTTTTTAATTACTGAATTCCTAATCTTCCAAAATTGAAATATGTTAAATTACCTGGAATATTTTACAGGTACAGATAACTAATTCATTAGCAGTTTTATAGCCTTTTCTTGGTCTTGGTCTCTTTTTTGAATAATGATGATATCTCAAGCTTTTTCTTCTTTCCTCACATGCAAACTTAATTTCGCTGAGAGTTTACTATGTGTCCAGCGTATTAATCACTTTAACTCTCATTTTATCTTCACGTAAACCCTCTGAGGTCTCTTTCGATTACCCTACCTCATTAGGGAGGAAGTCGGACCTGAACATAGGCTCGGCTCTGAAGCCTGTCGGGAAGTCTCTGCTGTTTGTGTCCTGCTGCAGTTTCTTGACATTAATAATATCTCCAGTTGAGTTTGATTTTTATAGCGGAACTAATGGATTTGTACTGAATACTGAGGTATCATGAGGTCTCTGTGTCCCGCTTCTCACCCATGAGCCTCTGATGAACCTGAGGAGGTAACAGTTCGAGAGATTTGAGTATATTCACTTTTGATTAGGGTGGGAACATTGACTTTGATATCTTCTCAATACCAACTTCACTGAGGAGATAACCATCCTGACCTTTTTTCTTACTGTTTAGGGAAAAGTTTTCTATTTATAAAGATAATAGATGTGTTTTTCTTTTCCTTTCCTTTTCTTTTTTTTTTTTTTTTTGGAAATTTCAAAGCAAATATGGATAAAAGTAGACTCTAGAAAAAAGCAAAATCTCCCCAAAATTCTACCATGCAGAGATAATCAGCCTTACTAATTTGGACCTGTCTCCATATAAGCACAATTTTATATAAATGGGATCAACTGTGTATGATGCACCCTCATTTTTTTTTTTTTTTCCATTAAAAAACATATATTCTCTTCTGACAGTATGAAGTCTTTATTGCCTGCATGGGAGTTCCTCGTGTGGATGTACCACGGTTTTGTTTTTGTTTTTAACCAGTTCCCTACGAATGGACATTTAGGTGTTTACCAGTTTTTTGCTATTATCAACAACTTGCTCCTTTGGCATGTATCTTGAGCACTTGTCCAAGTTTCTCTTTAGAATAAATTCCCTGGGCAAAGATTCCTGAGTCAGAGCGTGTCAGACGGCTCTCCATCAGGGCAGATGTGTTCGTGCTTCCCTACATTCTCACCACCCCTTTTTTAGCCCTTGTTTTCAACTTTTCCATTCTAATTGGCAACAAGTAATATCTCATTTATGTTTCTTTGTTTACTAGTGAGGTTGAGCAACCTTCTCGTGAGTAGCAATCATAATTTTTCTCCTTTTATGAATGTCGTTCATGGCTTCTGTACTACTAAAGCAAATGTTGTATGCCATTGAGAGCATTACTGTAAAGAATGCTCTTATTTTGTAGCTTTATAATGAAAAACCCAGCTCTCTTTAAGTTTGAAGAAAACTTAATGTTTTCTGTTATTCCTAGTAGTTTATCCCTTAGAGAAGAGAAGGGGTTATAATTACAACCTCCTGGAACCTTTTTCTTAAAAAAAAAAACAAAAACCTTTGCTATGAGAATAGATATTTTAATTAGAAGTGAGCATTTCGTTTTGAAATGCTTTTGATGAATTTTGAAACAGATTTGCATATATCTCCTAAGTTTCTTGCTCATTTGTGATTGTGGTTTAATCGTAAAATTAATACAGCAGGAAATAAACTCTAAGGTTGTATCTTAAGCTTTCTTTTGATAAGAAATAATTGTTATTCACAGTCCATTCCGATTCTTTGAAAGTTTATTGTTTTTAGCAGAATTCTCTTAGATTAGTGTCTTGTGCTATCATCACACACACACACACACACACGCACACACACACACACACACACTATTTTGAAAAGAAACTCTTGTGTAGAGGATAAGGGGGCAGAGGCAGAGAGTGAGGAGCATATTTACAAAGCTGAAGCTAAGTGAAGCTATTGACTTGGTTATGAGAATCAAATTTGTTGTATTTGCTTTTACTTAAGTCTTTTTTCCTTAAAAATACCACTTTACTTTAGAGACTCAGTGAGAGGCTTATATATTTTTTCATCTTTTGAAATATCAGGTCAAATTTTGCAAAATTTTTACCACCTTAATACAATTAAAAAGATTCCCCTCAAATATTTTCCTTGAAAGCTCCCTAGAATGTTTTTGGCCATTTTTCTATATTAGTCTGGATCTGAAAAAATTATAACTGTAACAAGACAGGGATGTGTGATAATGCAATATGTTGCCTCGTATTCTCAAGCTGCTCGTCGCTGTGACTCACAGCTTTAAGATGTTCTTTCAGGAGCACCTGCTGTCTCCTCTTCTATTATTTTAACAGATTGTGGAGACTTCCTCTTAACCCTGGAGCACATTCATCTGCTGCAGTAGATGTTGTAAAAGAATGAAATAAATCTGCCAGACCCGTATTTCACTTAGTGGCTAAATAAGAAATCCACTGGTAGTGAGGAGTCTTGGCTCGTGGTCACTTGTTCTTGCATAATTGCCCACTCCGGTGTTTTGCTTTCAAAGAATGGTATTTTATTTGGAATATTTTTATTATGTTACTTTTGAGGAGGCTTTAAAAGTTGCCGTTGTAATCACACATGCTATGAGAAAAGTGACAGTTCATTGTTTTTCCTGCTGGCAGTCGAGTGCATGACTGCTTTCATGCTATATGCTTCTTAGCCTATATTCAGATGGGCATAGAGTAAAGACTTTTTTCATGCATTCGTCTATTGAGTTTCATTTACAATGTGAATTTTTATATTAAGCATGTAAGAGCTAATGAATAAAGAGGTTGTCAGCGCTAAGGTAAACCCAGTGATTTTCAACTCTTATTTGCTTTGTATATCTTCTCTTTGACGCCCTCTGTCTCCAGGGGTCCTGGCTTGCCTGGATGGCTACATGAATATAGCCTTGGAGCAGACAGAAGAATATGTAAATGGACAACTGAAGAATAAGTATGGGGACGCATTTATCCGAGGAAACAATGGTAGTATTCCTTCCCTCTACAGTTGAACAGCATCTGAAATAAGGCTTCTTGTTTATAATTGGGATCACCAGTGGGAGGTTTTATATCTCAGATCTTCAACATGACCAGTTATTTTTTAGCTGCTTTGTGGAATTTTGAGACTAGAAATTCCTCTCCTCTCGTCCTTTTACTGTTGAGGAACTGAGGGGCACGGCTGTACTCTGCTCTTCTGAACATGCTTTATTATATTCCCCCAACACTGCCTCTCACACTGGAAGCTGGAGCTGTAGAGTGGCCAAAATGTCTCTGCTGTCTTTGGTTTGTGTCTTTTACCACTTTGCTTGTCCTATTTGTCCTTTCTCTGTTAAGTATTCATATGCTTTTTGTGGCAATTATATCCTTTAGTTTGGCAAAAATGACAAAATAGGAACTATGGTTCTGAAGTTGCTCAGCTTTTTAACAGCTGATATATTGCTGTGATTATTATGGCTACTTTTTAAGTACCTTGTTTAAAAACATTATCAGTAAAGTCTTATTTGAATTTTTCAGTGGAAAAGGGGAAGACATCAAAACTGTGGGAATTATCCCTTGACCCCTCCCCACTTTTTGGTCTCATTCCCCAAATGGAGCTCTGGGAATCTTGAGTTTGGACTTTACTGAAGTGCATGCTTTAGGTTCGGTGTCTTCTTCAGCCCCCTTAATGTCGAACCTCTGCTGTGAACTGAATTTCCTCACTTAACGTAGGCCTTCTGTCTCCTGTTCTTACAGTACCGTATTTCTTCACGTCCTATCTTTGTATATATCTCTCATTTGCTTTCTGGTTCTTCTAACATGTAGAATTTCTCTTCCTACTTTTTATATTGTCCTTACTTGACTTTTTCCATTTACTAAGAAATGTTAAGATTTTTCCCCATCTCAAGATTGCTGATAGCAAGTCAGTCGCAGGGTCTCTGAGTAGCGAGCGATAGGGTAGATCCTGTCACTTGCATGGGACATCTGGAACTTGTCCAACTTCCCACGAGTGTTTTTACTATCGTTCTGATGCTTTCCTCACGTAAGTCTTGCCTGGGTGTAATCAGTGATAGTCACCTGCAGATTCCCAGACCCACACCCTTGCTCCTAAAGAGAGTCCTGACTGACTCGGTTAATCTGTGCTACTTCTCTTATCAGACATCGCTTAATGTTCACTTTGAAAACACCTGTTCACTTCGGCATGCGGCGTAGAGGGAAGGGACACCTCTAGTGAAAGCTTGCCTGGTGGCTCAGTCATCACATTTCATCTTACTCTTACGTAGCACGTATCCTAACAAGTTCACTTTGGGTGGCCACAGGAAGACTAACTAAGCAAAACTTTGGATAACAACAAAAGTTGGTACTTCAACAGGGAACTCAGAATAAGGACTTCAGTATTTTTTTAAAAAATTAATAAACTCAGCTCTCGTTTATCCTGTTGCAATTTAAAAAGTAAACAGCAAATTTAGAGTTTATATTGTGGATGAAAATGTGTTATTTATTTGTACCCTGAAGTCTAGCCTGGCAGATTTATTCATTACTACAAGCATAATTGTATCTATAATTATAAAACATTCTTAGATTCCCGTAACTTTCATACGGGCAGTTTGCAGTTAGTCAGTTGCATAGCTAAGACTAGAACACACTCCTATAAGACATCAAACCCAGGTCTAGATTTGTAAAATTAGCCTTAGAGTAGTTCCAGAATTTATGGTGTAGTAGGAAAATTCCTTTAAAATTTGCAGAGTTGTCAGGCCAAAATCTGTTTGCTTTTAAAACTTTCAGTTATGATACTTAACATTTTTTTTCAATTTCTTTTTTTTTCAGTGTTGTATATAAGCACACAGAAGAGAAGGATGTGAAGACACCAACAGTACAATACCTCTCATACTTGGATATATTTTTTTATGAGATTTTTTTTGGTTCTTTTTGATATAATGTTCTATTTCATAATAGTTGGTGACTTTTCACTGACATAAGATAAATGTATAAAATTGTGGATTTAATTGTAAAGAATTCTTTCATATTTAAGTTTCAGCCATTTTCTTTAACCTCTGTCAGTGTGCAGAATGCAAAAAGAATAAAAAAAAGAAAAAAATCTGTTTCTCCCCACATGGTTTCTAGTGTAAGTTTCAAGCAATATCATTGGATTTGATTGCTTTATTTATTTGAATGACTAAAATGATGCACATGATGACAATTAAAATATTTTAGAGCTGTCCTCCTCTATTCTCTTCTATCTGTCTTACAAAATACTTGAGTGAAAATGTTCTGCAAAGGCATCCAGTTTCATTCTGAGGCTAAAAAGGGGCCACGAGGTCAGAAGTTCAGCCTCTGATTTGATCACTTAGATAGAAAATAGAACGGTGGCACTTCCACAAAAGGAGCGGGAATCCGAACTGGTTTGGGGGAGAAATTCTAAAGGTCCCCAATATGCCAGTTAGGTGAAAATGTTCCCTTTAAGCCAAGTCTGTCAGTCATCTTGCATGTCCTTGGACGCAGTTAGGTTGGTTAGATCTTGCTTCCTTTTGGCGGGCATTGGCGTCAGTGTCGTCTCGGTTAATGAACACATTAGGAGAGGAGCCACCCCTGCACCTCTTGTCTGGAAGTCATTCAGATTAAAGCAAAGACTAGAGTTTGTAAACTTGTTCAGGCTTCAGTTTGGAAACCGTGACTGGGTAAGAATTTCTCTTCACTCTCACTTAGGGAGGGGCGTTTGGGAAGCCTCTCTCTCAAATCCGAGCTGTGTCTGAGTGTGACGTCCGGGAACAGAGCACCAAGCATTTACGTTGCTTGGCACAAGCCGGCCCCTCTGTGTTATGTGACTCCTGCTGAGAGGGTTTTCACAATTTATTAATGAGATTTCCACAACCCTGCTTCATTCTCTGAACAGTTTTCACTGTCTCTAGGAACAACAAATATATCTGGGCACTGTGGCTGAATGAACACCAGACAACTGTGTGACCGTTGTATCGGCCTGCGTCTTCCCACCCTCCCCGGTCTAAACAGCATTTCTGTTCCAGGAGCCAGTGGTATGGTTTTAAACAATTGCCCGATTGAAGGAGGGAGGAAGGGGCTAGAGCTGGCTCTGCAGAGGTATGTGTGGCACTTTGTCTCGCCTTGTTTTGAAGATCACAGAGTAATTCGAAACAATTATTTTTTTAATTAATAACTCAAAAAAGGTGAACAAACATTTCACAAGGTTTAACTTTGTGTACACCAAAAATAAAACGATGCTGTGCTTCAATAATTTATCACTTCTTGACAGGGGCTTGAAAAGGGTCCGCTCTGTAAGTACAAATCAGCAATTAGCTCCTTTATAAATGACTTCTTTTAAGGAGAAAATAGATGTCCCTCCAAGTGGAGCATACGTGTTCTCATTTCCTAGAATACGTGGGGCTGCCAGGTTGCCATGTCCCTTCATTTACTTACATCAACTGCTTCTCAAAGCAATTCCGTTATTATCTCCCCCAGTCTGCAGCCTCCTATTTGTGCTCTCTCCTTCCCCAGCCTCGCCTTCGGTATGTCTTTATTTTCCCCTTGCCATCTCTCTATTTTAATAGCCGTGCGGTGGAGTAGTGTTTTCAACCATGGAACTACTTTTAATCAAGATCGACTTTGGGAAATGCTGCCATTTTTATGGTAATAAAGGACCGTATTATGCACTGCACCAACGCAAGCTGTCCCCTGTGTATACATAGCCTCACATAGTAGAACCGGGAAACAAAGTGTAAATGCTGAAATTACTTTTTTCTCGACTGTAGTCTCCTGGAGGTCAGTGAATGATTTCCAGTTGCATTGTAGCAAAGTCATTTGTTCTAGGTTGAAGAATTTTTCACTTGAGTAAATACATTTTCCCTGTCTCTGCCCCCAAGTCCTGGCTGCCATGCTCTTTCTCTTGGGCTGTGACAAAACAGAACGTTTAGTGAGAAACAGAAATTGCGCTTGATTTTTTTTTAGACTATTTGACTTCATGTTCTGTTTTGGTCTTCTGAGCTATTCTTTGGCTAATCTTCCAACAAGTTGAATTGATTCTGACTTCGAAACTGTTTATCCCAAAACAGAGCTGTTGACGAGTACAAATACAGATGGCAGACATGTGGTATGATTTTCCTGTTCTCATCTTAGCATTCAGTAAGGGAATGTTACTGAGATTTGGTTTACATCTTAAGCTTTTTTATTCAGGGCAGTGTGGAGTGCATGCTGGGACTGCTTAATTATGTGACAAATAATAAGTGTTTAAGAGATTGCCTTAAGGTCTGAAAACTCTGGCAGCATTGACTTGGTGTGTACGGTTTATCGCCCTGGAGGCTATAATAATATATAAGAATAGAA